CATTGATCATGAAGATGTTTGCTTCGAATGATCATGCGCTAGAACCACAGTCGCGATTCAAGCTGCACAATTGTCACTCCTCGTTTTCTACACACAAAGAACAGAAAAGATTGAGCAATGAGGACCGGCCCGCCAGATCTTGGAGATTGCAGGGTCACACCCTAAAGTGCCTGCAGATCGTGACCTGGTCTGAAACAGCAGGGATCTAACTGGTGTTGCAGGGGCAGAGCCATGGGCTTAATCTGGATGATCGAGATGGTCCTTGGGCGATCAACGACTATAACTATTGACAGTTAGTTCACTTGATGAGAATTCGATAATATTTTATATGTTGTTGCCACCTCATTCCGAACAGCAAATTTCACAATTTGTCACCCCTCAATCCGTAGTACAGGCTGTTCTGAGCAACACAGGAAACCTCAGGCTGACCCTTGTACCATTGCTTTTGGCCGCGAAACGGAGCGGGTGTTTCAACCCGGAGCAACGTGAACTGGGGTCAGAGAAACAAACAGTATATCCTTGCCTACACTCGAGGACCTTTTCGTTTTCGTTTCCCTCCGTTGAGCCTCCAAGCGGTATCCGAACATCACTCATAAATCGCGTGTTGTCCGATGCGCCACTAACTCCTAGCAAGAGGTCGAACACCGTTGGGTTGATCTGGGCTTTTATAGAGCCTCTCGCGTGGCTTCTACCTTTCTCTTGACTGCTGAGGACTACATAAGCTCCACCAGAATGACCTGAAACGCGCCAGGATTCTCCTTGCTTGTTCATCAAGGGAGATTTGTCAACGGCTGGCGTCTCTTCAACTCCTCAACTTCTCGAATTAAGCATCTACGCTATGCCAAAGATCATCTAAAGAGAAACTCTCAATTATACTGTTGAGCTGGCTCCCGTTGGTTAATGCGTATATTCCTTCTGTAGCCAATCTTCACTATCACCACCAGCTGCCACTTGGGAGTTAATGTCGCTTCTCCTAATCTCTTTCATGGGCGTCACTGTGTACCATGGAACATCCGACTATTCCGCGAGTAACTTGGAGGTTTTGCTCTTTAATCATCTCAAGTCTCTTCGTCTCAAGGAGCGTTGAGAAGTCAGTAACCTCCACTGGCTAGTGTAATGAACTTTGGTCAGTTGAAAGAAGTGCCAATGTAGTACGAGAATTCTCAGCTATGCCCAAATCAACTTTGGAAGGAAATACAATACCTCTGCTAATAGACGTCAACCTGAACGAGCATTCGTCAAATCACCGGTCCTCACACATACGTGAGATATCAGCTTGCTATCATGCTGGTGAGTTTCCGTTCTATTCACGTAAAAGGTTGATTGGATGGGGGCACTGGGATCCAGCTCACAATTCACTTATCTGACGAGTCCTATATAGATCCGCGGTAATTTCCTGATTCTTGGCTGAAAATTTATCCGCTGGCGGTCACCAGGTTATTTGGTAGCTACGAGTCCCTAAGTGATCCTTTCAAGATATCGTAAGCCACTAGGTACGTTTGTCATTGTGTGGGTTTTAATGACGGGTCAGATATCAACTCGTCATCCAGATACTTCAAAGAAGGCAACTGGAGCCGTGACTTCATCGTCATTCTAAACAAGCTTCAAGTTGTACGAAAGTTACACATGCTAGACAAATGGATGCAGGTAGCCGCCATCTTGCTTCTAATCTTCAATTGATTAGTTAAACCATTGTATTCAACCCCGCGCCCGCATATGAACAGTGCATCTTGCTGATCAACCACAAATGTATTTTTGTAGGCCAGCATGAACACCAATGTTCTGCATTGCATGGTTATGTCTATGTCACTCAAAAAAAGTTTCGATGTTAACATGTCCGTTGTTGAGTATTGTCTACCCTGTATATAGTAATGATGCTTGCAAACCAGCGATATGTAGAAAACCTATGATCTCTCCTCCTAATTTTATCAGGATTTTGAATCCAAAGGTTTTGTTCCCCGTTTGACGAGTAAGAACTTACAATGCAACCAATATACTAATTCATGGCATTACAAACATGTGATTCCCGGTATTGCTGAGCCAGTTATGAGCCCACGTGAAGTTTAATATATATATTTTGCAGGAAGAGTATTTCCATGGTATGAACCCCTAGACATCTGTTGGCTACATTGCCATGTTAGCCTAAATTCTTCGAAGCCATGCTTGTGGTCTGTTGGTTCTCTACGGCTGATGGGGGATATCTTCCGTTTTCTGTTTTCTGTATAAGCTCTCTCGAGAGTTAGCCGATGTTTCAGACGAAGCTTTCCCTCACCGCTATGCAGAGGTTGCAGATCGACGCCAAAGTCCAAGGACAAATCGTCTCATGGACATAAGCAAACGCTTGACAGAAGTAATTTTTACGCCGGTGTGCATAAATCGATATGAAGCCGCTCCCACCAAAACGGACAGCCAATTTTACAATGCATTCTGAGACAAACTCAGTTAATATAGCCAGAAGCACGTAATCGGTGATTCGTGGCGTACGGGAGGGATACTAGCGCTGCCGGTTTACTCCAAATGGGTTTTCTTGAGACATTGCATGCAGAAGGCTGCACCGTGTGGTAACATGATAGACACAATCTTCCCTTACATGCTTTGCCCCGTGTACCCATAGGATATGTCAGGAGGCTGAGCCAGTAGCTAGGAATGGTGCTTTGACATTTTGCACTGTCGAACATGCACGAAATAATTCGTTTTAACGTCCAGGTGCTTTGGAAAAGATCACCGCTTTCCTCGTATGCCAAGCTTCTTGATCTGATCCAGCATCCACTCCGTAAACAGGGACACGATAGGAGAAGCTAGAAAGGGGAAGAGAAAGAAGGGAGTTCTAAGCTTGATCAATATGACTCTAAGAATGTCTTGGGCTCTGGCATATTGAGGATTGATAAGTTGATGTCGGCTAACACTACGTTGGCAACAAATCTGTTGTTGCTAGTGAGCTCGATTCGTCACAAAATCGACTAAGACACCGTTGGAAAACTCTGAGGGTCGACGATGCCAGCAAGGGGACAGTACCATGTTGAGCTGAGGCTTACATGGTGAGGGGCAGCGCCGAGAGGCGACAAGAGGGATGAGTTGCTGCATCAAAGAGATGTCTCAAACCTTGTGTCTTACTCCGGCCCTTGGCGTGATCGGCAATGACAGTGATTCAGAAAACACATGTCAGATTTGCCTCTGTTTGTCACTTACATATCATCAATCGGTGGAATGCTATAGCACGATTGCTCCGGAGGCTTATCTCCAATGCCTTGCTCCGCTGCAGCCTGAGCTGGATATATACAACGGTACTTGTTAGTAAGAACCTGTTTCTTATACAAGTCTCAATGTCTTACTTTTTGTATTTATTTTGACATCCGTCAACAAGATACAAGATCGAGTGCCGTATGATCTTTTCCCTCAAGGAAGCAATGCAGTACTCTCATAGACTTGTAATGACAAACGTTCTCGGAATTGACTACCTAATAGTTGACTGGTTCACAGGAGATCAGATAACAGAGCTCTCACGATATCCAGTAAATGCGGGAGCTTGCGTAGTTCCCGCACCAGATCCAATCACTTTTCAGTGGTGGCTATATAAGTATGTACTGTATATATTTTCACGGGTCGCAGTCTCCTCCTGGCAGTTTAAGGCGTGTAGTCCCAAGTCATCGCAACGACGGAGCCGTTCTCCGGACTACATGATCCGGGAGACAGAATGATATCAGAAATTGGCAGTATGAGGCACAGTGGTATTCCAACAACGATGGACTATTGAGCAGCGACTGAAAATGTTTAATGTTTAAGGTAGTCAGGGTTCTGTCAGACATCCTCTGATCGAAAAGGTGTGCATTTAGCAAGGACAGCCATCTGAAAAAGGCTGATACGCCAATTTTGACATCCGTGAATGTGAGCTAGATAGCTTGCTAAGTGTGACCAACTCTACTGCATGATGCTAGACTAGTTAGTGGTCGATCAACTCAGCGAAGTGGTGTGGTGCCAATGTTCTGATGCCATCCTAGTAGGTAGTCAGTTGGGCGATCAAAGAACGTTGAGCTTGACGACAAAGGATAACGCTGCCAGGTCACAAAACTTTTTGTCATCAGATCCTTCCTCGTTCGCGAGATCTGGCTTTGACATCCTAACAAGTACCAGTTAACTTGATCGATCACCTTCAACAAGTTGCATGCATTTTGCCACATTTACACAAGGCTCCTTGATCCAGACCCTGCATCAGAAACGTCAAAACCTCTCCAGCGAGCGGTCATGCAGTTGAACTTTGATGAGAAACAAATTACTGCGCAATTTTCTTCGTGGACGCACAAGGAAACCTCTGGTTGGGGCCCAAATGCGATACTGGAATGCGACTATGACTTGCGACCCGTACACTACTCTAAGGTACTCAATCATCCCAATCTGGTCATGAACCGATTAGGTGCTGGGACAGACCCAGAGGCCATGTAAAGGAGTGGCAATCACGTACCTGGAGTAACGGGAGTTCCCACGCCTCCTGGCTGCAAGGAACAAGACAACCCGGCCATTGCTAAAGTTGCTGTTTAGAGCAGCTTAATATACGATTCCTAGCGGTCATCTTCGTGGCTATAATGTATCGGCGGTCGAGTATAAGCTGGTCCTTTGAGTCATACATGACCATTCTCAAGAGGAGTCGCGGTTCATGACGGGCATTTGGGGTTCGTAGCGGCAACAAGGACATATGCAAGAAGAGAGGGAGAATAGTTGTTCTCTTCATCCCACAAGTGGTGATATGGGCACAGTACCCCTTCTCAACATTATCTTATATGTTGAAACTATTTTAACTGAAGCATGCCTTGCTGAAACAAAGGCAAACTAATGGTATAATGAGCACATCAGAACAGCTTTCATTCTGGAGTGTAGTATAGAAACACACAGGCAGCATCGCCAATCATTGTAGCGCCATATTGCCCCATCCGTGTACGTGTATGACCCAAAAATTGCCTGCCTTGAAAACACATCAAACGCCCTGTATATTATATGCTGCGTGTTCACTGTCGTGTCGAACGGCGTCGCCGCTTTCCTTGCAATGTAGTTTCGCCCTCATCTTGCTCTCCATCACTTGAATCGTCGTGACTCCTGGTGTTTTTGGACCGGTCATTGCCCTTCTTGATAGAAATAATACAGCCTTGCTCCTTAAGTCGCTTAGTCAACTTTGTACTGGCCTGCATCCCAGGAAAGTCCTTTGCTGTATAAACAGTGAAAACATCGCTCTGAGCGGTGACCAAAGTCGGGAAGCGCTTCACCTCTTTTGCACGGATTGGGTCAATTTTGACCAAGGTGAAATGAAGACGAAATGAACCAGGAGTTCTGCAGGATAAGTCGGGAAAGCAGAAGAAGCAACCCTCCTCGCCATGTTCATCCTTGCCAACAAACGGGGCACTGACTAATAAGCCCATGAGTCGGCGCTGTTGCCGATACTCTTCAGGCATGAACGAGGCATCACAAGACCCAGATTCATCGAAAATAGAGCAGCTCATCACGTAGTGGGGATAGCGCAGATGTTTTCCTGTCTCTTCTTTCGTGAGACTGGCATCTTTGATGAGAAGCTGAACGATTGGCGGCGGATCAATTACTCTCCGGTCTCTCTCCCCAAATCCACATGATCGAGCTGCAATTGGTTGCTGTCGTATCTGGAGCTCGAAGCGGTTATCGGCTGAGCGATTGTCCACGCTCGTCCTACTGTCACTTCTCTCACCAGTGGTAAGAATGTCGGCTATCCTCATAGTATCAGACCTCGGTTCAGTTGGAGATACCATAGGACTATTCCAATCAGGTGGTCTGCCATGGGTTGTAACAGGCGGATTGAAGTGATACTCTGTGAAGCGAGGCGCGGGATACATATCGATTGATGGTCTATGCTGACCATGTATGAAGACGGGTGGTTGATCCTCTGACACCGAGTGCAGTCTCGGCGCATATACTGGATGGTGGCCTTGCGCGTGGTCCAGCATTTCGCTATTCCGCAGAAGACTGGTAGATGGAGCTTGGGGCGGACGGGCTTGCTGTCCAGCTGTATGGTCAGTAGCATATAGCCCAGATGGTAGATGAGGAGGAGGATGAGGTTGGTTTTGAGGCACAGAGCTTGACATCTCATTCAATTGGTAAACATGGCCAGTTTGCGGGTGCTGATGATGCTGCAGCTGTGAATGACGACGATGATCGGGCCCTACGGTGAGTAGGCCCGCCGGGGAATACAGGCGTTGTTCATAGTAAGAGTGAGCTGGACTCCGAGGAGGATGATGTGTTTCCGGTGCCCAATTCAACATTGTCGTCGCATATGGATGTGGGATGGCCTCTGGCATGGTCTGTGGCATCGCGTTCAGCCGCTATGATGTTCGCGTGGCGGTCTCGACAGCTGTTAGAGACATGAATGTTGTGGAATATTTCTGGTTCAGTCAGGAAGGACTACCATCAACGCAGGTGGATTGGAAGGAGAGACGCCAGTGTCGAGCTTATTAGTGGAAGATCAGTGGCGGCTTAGATCGGTTGCATCAACAGCTAACTTATACAGTACCCAGGTCCCCAAGTACAGAACCCTTTCGGTAGCGTCCAATAAGAGAACAGGATCAGCCAGGCCCAAGGGAAGAAAAGAGCGGGAAGGGCCCAGTAGTCCACTACTTCCAGGGAGTCGGCTGTGAGACGGAATGCGGGCGGTTCCACTGACCAAGATAGACGATGGGGGAGTGGATGAACGCTGGTGTAGTCAAAGGCGTGTAGTAGCCTCAATGGGCTCCTAGCGGTCTGAAAAGACGCTATTGACTCAGATCGATTAAAGTCTTTCTTTGGGTGAGACTAGCAGGTTGGCTAACGGCCGGGGGGAGCGGGAGAATGTCGGCCAAGCCCACGACAATGTCCGGGCTGAGGAGAGGTAGCGAAGGAAACACAGGCTCATATGCCGCAAACGACTTGGAGGAAGAGGGCCGTAGAATGAGGCCGTGATCAGTCGTGTTTCTGCTGTGTATTGATGGAAAACGTGAGGGATGTGGGCGAGCTCGCAACCACACGCACCAAGAAGCCGGATTTGGTCTCTGCTAAGCCTGGTTCTAGCGGGAATATGACGGGTGTAGAGAGAACGCAAGACTTTGCGTGAAGAAAGGGGATAGCGACACTAATGTGCGGGCGAATGAATATAGGTCAGAACGCGAGGGTATAGAGCTGTTTAGCGTCACGATGCAAACACCATGCCTAGGTACGGAATAGAAAATAAGGACCCGGAGGTCAAGTAACTGGAGGGACGACAACCCTAAGCATAAAGCCGTTCCAGCCTCAGTCGAGAGCGGAATGAAATGGTTCGAGTCCGAAGCTTTCAGACGGCTGGGGCAAAAGTCAAAACGAAGGATACTCCCAGGACTGGACCAAGATTCCCGCCTGTGTATTGTTGGCCGAGGACCAATGGCAGAAGAGATATCGATGAGCTTTGAGAGGCAGCGAATCGAGAGAGAAAACTGAAACGAAAGCCGCCCAGCAGTGTGCCTTGTAAGATCAAGCCCAAATCGTCGAATCGACGATTTCCAAATGCGGAGGTCAGGGAACGAAATGGCTGACCAGTGATAGTTGAAGATATCGTACAAAATGAGACCTCGCAACCACAAGTTCTAAGGTGATGACAAGAAAAGATAGAGATTATTGAGCTCATATGACAGGGGGAGGTGGGATTATTAATGATATTTGCCATTGCCTGGCCTACCAACAGACATAAAAAAGTCTTGGGCATAAAACCCAAAAAGCACCCATTAGCACTCGCCTCCTGCTACCTGACCTCGGATCACAGCCAATACTAGGTAGGCACGATATGCACATGGAGCCTCCATGGTAAGGTAAAGTATGTATGTAACAAGAAAAAATTGCGTTGCTAAATGCAGTAAAAGCAACTACCTAGGTACTTAGGTAGGTCGGCATTGTAGGTGAGTGAGTTGAGCGGATGGATGGATGCCTGCAAGGGAATTGACCTGCCATGCGGCCGCAGATAGAGGCCTGAAGCCCCATCTTGCCTCAATCAATAAAAATGCCGCCGGCAGCAGTCGCGCATCTACAAGTATAAAAAGAGGCCTAAAGAAAACGGGGCTTATGCAAACCACTAAACCTCAGCCGGGCAGCCGGGGAAACAGATCGGTATCGACGGCATGACTTGACTTGGTGTATAGCTACTAGCCTGGACTCTCCTGTCCATTGTGTTGCCGTAGTTATTGGTCACGCAAACGTTCTCTACCTTGTCAAAGGCCATCATTGAAAAATATCGTATTTATGAACTCTCGAGCTACTTGCTTGATCTTGAGTGGACGCTAACGAATGCAGCCTTCGTCAGTAAAGTGCCAGTCTGGGATCTTGGTCTCAAGTGGGCATCGCGCGCCAGCCCATGATGGGTATATGTGGTCTATGTGGACCTTGGCGGGTCGATCATCGAAGCATTGGATTCCCTGTAGGGCATTAGAAACACACAAGGGGATGGAGATCAGCAGATGGAAATATCGTGAAATCGCATCCCTTAGTTTGACTTGCTAACCTCAGGTAGCTTAAAGGATATTCCAGGGCTGAATCTGGCTGGCTAAAGGCACCCATCGGGATAAGATGTTAACGAGATCGATTCGGGTCTGTGCCCTTCCCAAGCTCGGGTAAGCTACCTAGGTAATGCCTTACTCAGATCGAAGAAGCCGAATAAGAAAGTCAGAAGGGAGATCGGCAAATTGCATTTAATGGAGGGATCTCAACCATGTTTCTTAGACTCTTTAATGTCTAATCAAGGTAACTACTAACCCAGCATCTCTTCCATCAGCCAGCAACTTGTCAACTGTCACTCGTCCACACCAGCAGTCGAAGACTCCGGCCGGAGTCGTTGATTACATCCATCTTGATTTTTAGTATCCGTGCCATTGAGCTTCTTCCTTCCACCCCTCTTTCTATCTGCTATCAAAGTGGTGACGCAGGCTCTCGACTCTTCGTGCGATGTCTATGTCGAATGATGGCCCTTCGTATCCTGTTCAACATTCAAAAAGGGAACGAGTCAGTTGTGCTGGCCAGATCAGATTTGCTTTTGATCTTTGGGTGCATGGCCTTGAACTGGGTTTCAGCGCCACCGCGCTTCGTCAGGCTTTGTTGAGATCAGGTAACAAAAACCAGGCTGGCTTCCCCTTGTACTGCGTTCCATGCCGTTTCTCTAACGGGGGTAACTTTCATTGGCCTCTTATGGAGGGAGCCCCCCCGGAGGTTGCTGATTCGTTCCAGTGCTTCACTTCTGGTATGTACAAAAGCTGAGTTCGACGCTGTATTTGAGCGCAGATATGTGCGTCGACATGCTGTATAACAGCCTGGGCTTCTTGAGGATAAATCCCAAGCTATTTCAGCATTGCGGATAAGTTTCTCTGCAGGGACGATAGTGTTACATCGAACTAATAAGCCTGCTGACTGCACATGCATATCCGGAACTAGGCCCTTACCCCTCCCCGCAACGAGGCATGCATGTCGTCTGAGTGGCAAGAGCCAAACCTGTGAGATTACTACAGCACCTATCTACATTGGAGCAGTCTATCAGCACTCACCGATCCAAGGTGCCAACATAATCGCCTCCACTCCTCAAGTTAAAGACGTGGGGCGAAAGGTTCTCTTTCTCCCTTCAAAGGACAACCCTCATCGTCACTGGCCATCAAAGACTATACCTCAAAACGGAAACCCGATGACATACCTCCGCCTCCTCAATGATGCTAGAAACACAATATCGGTGATGCAAAGTGATAGGTATCGTCTGCTCGATCCATGGTGATGGTGCTCCACATACCCGGAGCGTGGGCAAACAAGCAAGCTAGGACGCGTCTGGTAATTCGTCATTTCCACGCCATTCAGCTTTGAACCTTCGATTCTGCTGGCTACGTTTCGGTCACCACATCATGCACAATGCTATTCGTTGAGATACGCGAACCAAGACGCCATCTCTGGAGCTCTGGCCTGGCTACAGGCTGGCAGACTCTTATGTACGGACACGGGCTCGGACCTTCAACCAAGTCTATGACACACAACAGACCCAAACAGCCAGATTGAACGATTTACAAGTCGTTGCAGGCCTAACAGACCACCCTGCAGCTGGTCTATCAGACCTACCCTGCGATTGGCTCCTACACTTGAAGGGGAATGCGCCTTGTTGGTGACAGATCATGAGCGCCAAGAAATCCTGGTATGGGCTTATTGAATAATAGCACAACACCCACGAAACAATTCAATGATAGAGTATTGGGGATTTGTTTCCTCTTTCTTCTCCTGTCGGTTGGGAAATGTCCGTCTGTTTTCGTTATTTACCCAGCTATTATTAGCAGAGCTGCACGTCATGCACCCCAGCATTCTGGCCTTCAACAGTAAACACCATTATTTTAACTGAAGTACATGCCAAGATGACACCATATGCTATCGAAGCGCCTTCTTTGCTTGCTTGCATGCGTGCACATCCAGCTCCATGGCATTGGAACAGTTTCACATTAACACCATCCCCTCACTGCGGCTTACCATCAAGCTTGGCTACGTTCCACGACAGCTTGAAGACAAGCTCTAATCCAGTGAAGTCGGCCAGTGACCGTGCTAGTCTCTACTGCACTGCACATGCATGTTTGGGCCTTATCAGCGACAAGAGACGGATAGCCATTGCTATAGAACCTCTTCTACCCGGCATCAGTGCTCACTTGCAGCTTGGTCTGGCACCTTCCCAGTTGATATGATGAACCCTTTAATATCTATTCATTTAAAAATCGAAAAGATATAACTGCTTCGTCAAAGTCAGCTTGACAACAAATCTCTTACCCTGAGAGCCGGCGTTGAGTTATCCCACTTGGATCACCGGCGGCATTATTCCTTTGTCAGCTTCAATATTCGTGCAGAAACCCTTAATTGTGATTTTAGGTTACCATGTACTGGGAACCGATATCTCGGCTGCTACTCTGTGAAAATTGTCGTAAAATCTGACCGATCCTTTTCTTGGCAAGATGAGATAGTTGAGCCGTCAGCTACTTGTCCAGTTTGTTGCATACAATATTAGGCCGTAAGGAGGATTACTCCGTAGACCTACCTACATATAGACAATTCGCACATCCACAATCAAGCCCGGCATGGGGATGCAAAAAAAGTTAGGACCTCTATCCTAGGTAACAAAATGCCTTAGGTAAACTTAGGTTAATTTAAATAATTTAGTAAAGATTTAGAGGATCTTAGACTAAGTATTTCAGCGCCTTAGTCTAACGTTAGAAGTATTCTTCCATCCCGGGGCGAATAGCGAGGGGAAGTAATC